ACGCGACCTGCCGTCTGTTCGCGGCCAGGAGGTGACCCGGCCCGCCAGCTGAGCAAGGCCGAAGTGACGCTGCTGAATCGACCAGCCGTCTTCGAGCCCGGCCTCACGCTCGTCCACCTGGCCATCAGGTCAGTATACATGCTAGTACACCTGGTAGTACACCTGGTCATCAGGTCAGTATACGTGTTAGTGCACCTGGTCATCATGCTGGGAGGAATAGCAGTTCACCTGGCCATTATGTCAGGAGGAATAACGGTCCAGCTGGTCATCATGTCAGGAGGAATAACAAGGCAGCTGGTCATCATGTCAGGAGGAATAACAATCCACCTGGTCATCATGTGAGGCAAAACACTAGTCCACCTGGTCATCATGTCAGTTAGCGCACCATTCCACCTAGTGGTCATCATTTCACAAGTCACGGTTGCACGTGTCATCCTGCGGCACCGTCAAATGCTCACCTTGGCACCATCTAAACACTGAAAAGTGAATAAGCGCGGAGCTGGCAGTTCCTTCATAACTTGCCTGCGCCGGCGCGAGAACGCATATTTGCGTTTGCGAATTATATGGGAGAACGTGCTATTATCATACGTGGCTCGATTTTTGCTTTTGCTGCGTAAGGAGAGACCGCGCATGCGCAGGCTGCGTGATCCAGGCTGGTGGCGTGGTGAGGCCCGGCGGTGGTCAGTGTTGCTGTTTGGCGCGCGCGTCCGCTGACGGGGACGGCGCGCCGCCGCAGGTTCTGCCAGGACAACATCCTGTCGACGGTGCTGACGCGCATGGAGGGCTCCGGCTCGGGCGTCAAGCGCGTGCCGTCGTTCGTCGCGCCCGATCTGGCGCAGGCCGTGCGCCGCTCGGTGGCCACCACGCTCCGCCAGAAGAAGGTCGCCTTCCCCTGCTACTTCATGACCGACATGACGTGGTTTTCTCTGCCCGCCGGTGGGTGCGCGACGCTGCGGTTGGCGCGCCTGCTGCCGCTGCTCGGGAGGGAGGGCAGGGGGGGGGGGGGGAGGGGAAGAGGGAGCGACCGGTGGCGCTGCGCCAGGCCCGAGGCCGGCCGGCCACGCGGTCCTGCATCGTTTGCGTTAGACAGTGTGACGCTGGCGGCGCTGGGCGGATCGGAACGGCGTAGGGTGAAAAGGAGCGCGGGGACGTGCTGTGCTGCCCGCTGCGTCCATGGCGGCCCGGCCTGCCGAGTTCCGGAGGTCGTCAGGGATCGTCAGAGTCGCTCGGGCGACGAGCGTCGCCGCCCCGAGGCCGGCGCACCGTAACGCTTGACCCGACCCCTTCCCCCCGGCCCGCAGACATTGAGGAGCTGCCAGAGATGGTGCAGCAGCAGCTGTTCGAGGAGCTGCTGGACAAGGACGCGCAGAAGGAGCTGGAGGTGGACGCGCCCATCATCAACTGGAGCCTGGACGTGACGGAGCGGCTGGGCTCGCGGCTGCACGCCGTCTGGAACCGAACGGCCGGCGACTGCCTGCTCGACTCGGTGCTGCAGACCACCTGGGGCGTGTTCGACCGCGAGAACACGCTCCGACGCGCCCTCTTCGACAGCCTGCACGAGGCGGCCGGCGCGTGAGTGGCTCCACCCCCAGGCATGGCTGAGCTGACCGGGCGCGCGCGGGGATCGACCCGATGCTTGGATTCTTTTAAAGAGCTTCTAGTGGGGTTCGTTCGTCGTCAGGCGTAGAACGTGCGGGCTATGGGGTGACGCGCCGTCTGGTGCGGCAGGCGTCGTGAGCCGCCGTGTAGTCCTCGTGTCCTCCCCGCCCTGCGCCGGACCGGCCGGCGCCGCGTCAGCAGCCGCCTGCCCTGGCCGACAGGTTCTACCCGCGCTGGTGCGAGTATGAGCGCCAGCAGACGGAGCGGCTGCAGTACAGCCTGGACGAGGACCAGCTGCGCCACGACTGGCTGCAGCTGCTGGCGCTCGGCAAGCCGGGCATGCCGCTCGAGCAGCTGCACATCTGGACGCTGGCGCACATCATCCGCCGACCCATCATCGTGTACGGCGTCAAGTACGTCAAGAGCTTCCGGGGCGAGCCACTCGGCTACGCCAGGTTCGAAGGTCAGTGGCGGGGCGGTGCGGCCTGGCGGGAGGGGGCCTGGTGGCCGCTGCAGCTGTGAGAGGAGCGGCGCGACGCCGATGCTGTTAAAGCTGAGGACAAGCTAGTGTCCGTCTGCGTGGTACGCGGGAATGGGCATTTGAGGTGTTCGTACTGCCGCTGATAGTATATTAGCTCGTTACAATTGAGCGGAACATTTTTTTTTTTGTGCGCTGGGTCACAGGAAAGTTCCCTTTTGTAAATGGTGTTGTCAACCACATACAGCTGTGCCGAATGTTATCGAACCAAATGTGTTAGCTGGGATTCACGTTGCCTGGGTACGTCACTTGCTGAAACGTTCTCGTAACTCGACGTTCATTGCGTGACTTGGGAACCAGATTTGACATCTCTCGGGCCGACCCGGTCGGGTGCACTGGCGGGCGTGCGTGGGCACCCAGACCGCGTCCGGCGCTGTCCCCGAGACCAGCGCCGCAAGCCGGCGGCGTGTGCTGTCCGCCGGGGGCGTCTCAGCCTGAACCCGCTGCGTTTCAGGGGTGTACCTGCCACTGCTGTGGGACTCGTCCTTCTGCTCCAAGTCGCCCATCTGCCTGGGCTACACGCGGGGGCACTTCTCGGCGCTGCTTCCGGCCATGCCGCCCACCTCGCACATCACCGGCGCCGGTCAGTCGGCGGGCGGTGCGCCGCTGCGGCTGAGGCGGCGGCTCGCGTGGGCGCGAGTAGGCAGCGAGTGGGCGCTAGAGGGCTTGATAGGACTGCGCACGCGGGGAAATGCTCTGGCGGTGATGTGGCGAGGGCCGCGACCGTTGGCTCCGACCAGCGGCGGACGGATCCTGCCGAGCTTCGGGTCGTACAGACGGCCGCCGTGGCGCCAAGGCTGTCCAACCACGGCCTCCAGCGGACCGGAGCCGTTCCGCCGGCGTTCGGACCGAGGCCCTGCCCCCCCCCCCCCCCCCCCCATCTGACGCCGTCTCTGCCGACTGGCCTCGGTCCTGACTTCGCCGCTGTCTGCAGGCGCCGACCAGCACAGCCCGGAGGCGGGCGGCGTCGTGTTCTTCCCGCTGATGACGCACGACGGCAAGCTGCTGCCGGTGCACTTCGTGACGCGCGCCGAGCGCGGCCGCGAGGAGGCGCTGCTGCGCCAGTGGCTGGACGTGTGCGTAACCGACGGCGGCTGTCTGGTGACGCAGTGCCAGCTGCCGCGGCCGCCGCTGCTCGTCGCACAGATGGTGCAGGAGTGGCTCAACTACTACCGCCGCATGTGGTGAGCGGCGCCGCGTGGGAAGGGCGCCGGCGGCGGGGCGCCCTGCTGCCGGCGGCGCTCGAAACGGACTGACTGTCCTCACAGCGCTAATGGTCACGAATTAGATGATACACTGTTTGAAATTCTCAAATAGGTGGGCCAGACGACTGACTGTCTTACTCGTATGGTGATTGGCTTCTGCCCTGTCGTCTGTTCAGATCAAAAACGAATTGATCAATACGTATTACGGCCCTGTGGCATCTCCATGGCCATTGCCTTGTCTTGGCATTTGCACGCCCATCCTGGGCGTCCTATTGACAATCCCGTGGTGCATCACCAGCATCTGAGATGCAGCCTGCGAGCGTTGCGCTGTCGAGTCTCGTCGCCATTGGGGCTTTGCGACGCACTCAGCTGCTGGGGTACATGGCGTCGCCTGCCTGTCACCCTAGCGGAAAGGGCAGGCACCGCGGGCAATCGAATCCCGTAGCTCTAGTTTTTTTCAGATGCGCAGTGGTCAGCTCATATGCGTTAACCGCCGCGCCACCGGCACCCCGCCGTCCAGCCTGGTGCCGCCCGGTGGCGCCTCACTGACGGCGACCTGTCGGCGTGTTCGCAGCCCAGTGACCGGTCCGGTGTTCCCCACCAAGCTGCCGGCGGCCGGCGACGAGGCCAGCTCCGAGAACGAGTCGGAGGGCGAGTGACGACCGCACGCGCGCCGCGCCGTTTAGTCCAGTGATATTGACGTAGTCACGTGTGACCGCCGCTGCCGCCGCCCGTCTGCGCGCGCGCCCCTCCCCTTCGTAGACGAGTCTAGTGACACGTACCTGATACATAGAACAACGGGCGGCCGGCGGTCGCGGCGAAGCCAGCCGCCGGGCTCTACACGCATGCATACATATACATAAGATATATAAATATATAGAGACAGCGCGCGCGAGAGGGGCGCGCGTTGTGGGCGGACGGGCTGGTGGCGGCCTTGTTCGCGCTCCCCGGTCGACGGCCGGTGCCGGCCTCCTGTTTTGGGATGTTATCTACTGCGTAAATGCATATTTTGCCGGCGCAGCTGCCGCCGACGGACGGCGCCGCGCGTCCGGGCACGCTTAGTGTTGTTGGAACGCCACCCGGGTTGGTCGTATGTGTATTTGCTAAAAGCCCTGCCGTCCCAGCGTCCCCTAACCCGGCCAGTGAGGCAATAAATGAAGCGGAAAGCGGAAGCACTCTGCAGCGGCGGCTGCGGACAGACCGGGCAGAAGGCGGGGGCGGGCTCGCCGGGTATGTACACACGCGCCGCCTCCGGCAAGCCGGCTGGCAATTGGTCGGCGGTGGTCGTCCTCTAGCTTAAGAACGGTCCAGCGACCGTCAACCCAACACGAAAACTACGACTACTGACATACCAACAATGATCGGCGTTAACATCCCCAGCCGGCGTCTGCTGCAGACCAAATGTGAGTGGGATGGAGTAAAACTACGATGATGGTGGCGGTGGCGGATTGTCCGAGCAGAATGCGCGGACCGTACGCAACTGACGGCCAGCCGGCCCACTCACGCGGGCCACGGCACTGACGCGAACGGGCTGACGTCCCGCCGCCGGGTGACGTCACGGCAGTCATCGCGAGGCACGCGTTCGCACGACCGTTCCCGCCGGCTCCGGCAGCCGCCGCCTCTCCGTGCTGGGTCTCCTCGGCGGGTGGCGGCGCGGCGGGCCGCTCAGGGCGCCTCCTGCGAGACGAGGAAGTCGTCGAGCCGGTGCGAGCCGGTGATGCGCAGGCAGCGCTCGTTGGCTGTGTGCAGCAGCGCCGTGAAGGCCAGCGCGACGCTGAGGTTGTCGGCCATCTTGGTGCTGATCCGCGCCGGCAGCCGGTGGTACAGCTCGCGGAAGCTGTAGTCGCGGTCGGGCGTCATCTGGTCGGCGGCGGCCTCCTTCCGGACGGCCGGCGGCGAGCCGGACGCGTTCTCCTGGTGGTGGGCCGGCCGGCGTCAGCGCCGCGCCGCGGCCGGGCGGGGAACTACGGGCCGGACGGGACGGTGGGCAGCGCCGTGCCGCGGCCAGGTGGGGGAAACGGTGGGAGCGAGTGGCCAAAATAAGGACCTGCTGGTACCGGTGGTGAAAGTGGTGGCGAACGTCACTCTTGACAATGCTCGCGCGTAATCGTAATTGTAGCAACAATGAGTCTGACGTGAAGGGACTATGTCAACAAGACAACGTTACCACGACCAACTTTTACAAAACACCGCACTGGGCTGGCTAGCTGTCTGATCCAGCAGTACCCAGGCTGACCACTGCAGCCAGCGGCATGGCAACAAAGGCCACAGACCCGGACTTGGACACGCGTACACAGCACGCGACTGCTCCCAGGAGGCACTGGCAAGGGGCGCAGATTTCAGCCGATGTGCAACGAAATGGCGCGCAGAAGGGGCGTCACTTGCCTTGTCGTCACGTTTCTTGTCCAGAAGTATCTCCCATATGGCGACTTTCAGTTTCCGCATGTCCATTTTCTTCGCCGTCCTAGCGTATGCAATATGGATCTTTTCCACCTAGGGCAAACAGGATCAGTACGGTACAGACAGCAAATAGCACGTACGAAATTATGGGAGGCGAACGATGACATAGCAAACACACTTCGGCATTGAGCGTCAGCCGGATGGCATGCACTGACGCTCGCAGTCTGTTCAGTCAACAATGACGCCGCCATGGCAAAACACGGCAGACGCACACAGGCAGGCGCTAACCAGGGGCAAGTGGCCGCACAAACAGGGTCGTGGCGGCCACATAGCAGCGGCGATCCCGCGCGCGACGACACACGGTAGCGCGCGGTAGACACACACACGCACACGCACACGCACACGCACACGCACACGCACACACACACACACACACACAAGGGCCTCCCGGTGACCAGCTGTCCCACTCCGCGCCACGACGGGGGCGGCGCGGCGGCCGGCGCGCGCCGTCACCTTGTGCGGCGCCTGCACCAGGCTCTCGCCGCTGAGCTGGGTGGCCGACGGCGGCGGCGCCGCCTCCTGCAGCTCGCTGGCGTCCCACACGCTCGCGCCGCCGCCCGACGGCAGGAACGTCGCCTCCTGGTCATAGTCGTCGCAGTCGTCCTGCGGCCGGTCAGCGCGGTCAGCGTCGGCTCGGCTCGAGGGCGCGGCGGGGCGGGGACGGCGGGCCGCAGGCACGCAGCGCGCGGGCACGCAGCGCGCGCCGGGCGCGCGCCGCACGGAGCCCGGCCCCATGGTGCCGCCCGTTTCGGCCCGACGCGAAACAGATATGTCAGCCCAGCCGTCTGTTCACCACACTTAACCGCGCGAGTCACTCGCCGCGCTGGTGTTCGGATAAGCCTTCGACCAGTTGGAACACCGCCAGTTGGAACACGGTCAGTTGGAGCCAGTTTACACACATCCCGTTGCATTGGCTTGTGATGCCGTCATCCTACGTGATTCGGACCGCACAACTCGGTGCATTTCCCCCTATATTGCTGCGAATTTTAACGTGTTACCAAAAGCAACGACAACACTTCCTTTCTCATACTCACCGGAGGAATTGGACGCCTTAAGCGACATCGAGCCTACTGTGTCTACCAATGTTTGTGAAATGGACTAGGGCACTAATCACTTCACTATCGGGACCAGCGCATCAGCCACTTCCCTATCGGGACCAGCGCATCAGTCACTTCACTATCGGGACCAGCACACCAGCCACTTCACTATCACGACCAGCACACCAGCCACTCCACCATCGGGACCAGCGCACCGACCACTCCACTATCGGGACCAGCACACTAACCACTCCACTATCGGGACCAGCACACGGGACACCACTACCACTCCATATCGGGACCAGCACACTAACCACTCCACTATCGGGACCAGCACACTGACCACTCCACCATCGAGACCAACAAAAAACTGCTCTATCAGGACCAGCGCACTAACCACTCCACTATCGGGACCAGCAAAAAAACTGCACTATCAGGACCAGCGCACTAACCACTCCACTGTCGGGACCAGCGCACCAACCACTCTCCACCATCGGGACTACTACGCTGAATGACGACTGCGGCAAGTACGACAAGCACTCCAGCCAGAGAGCAGCACTCACAGTCTGCGGCAGGTCGGGACAGTAGTTTTGCGAGTCGCGCTCGTTGTCGTAGTCGTAGTCGGCCACGCTGCCGTCCAGGTCGTGCTGGGCGTCCGCCGCCGACGCCACCTCACGCACGATGCCAATGTCGGGCCGCAGGAACAGCCTGCCGCGTCAGGGCCGGGCACGGGTCAGACGGAGGGAAGGAGGCGCTGGCCGTCCCGGCCCCAGTCCGCGCCAGCTACAGCTGCGGCCGCCGCCAATCGTGATGATGGGTGTGGCCGGGTGCCGCGATCAGAATTTCGGGTCACGTGACTTTCGTTAGCGTGACTTCCGTTATTCACGTTAGCGAGAATACGATACAGGACTGATGCACTCCAGCGGGAATGCCTGCGAACAAAGATGCCCACATTTACGAACGAATGGGCATGCATCGGGAATGAAGTAGTGAGAACAAAACTAAATTCGACGATCTCACATGACAATAAAGCAGCCAAGGGCGTGATATCAGTAGAGAATACCCTGCATGGGACACTAATTTACACTAAATCATTTTAAAACGGCAGTCAATTCCTTAACAAATTGCTACCCACCCAGTGACACCAATTTGTCTTGAAGGTCGACCTTATTTACACACACTTCCTACTGTACCACAGTTTGATTCCATACACCTACACTCAGCCTAAAGAATTATTGAACTTCTGTCCAGAAGTAATAAACACATACATTTTACTATTCGTTAACCAGTGATGATTACCTACAACCATAAGACAATTAGCTGGAATATAATTATGTTGTGTCGCATGTGTGACACAGTTCTGGCTGGTTTGAGAACAAAATAAATCCACGCAATCGAACCCGACTTGTTGAGAAGAAATCTCTCATTGTCTCATATCACTACAAAACATCGACATGCTGACCCTGGCATTATAAGGATGTTTGAATCACACCACTCTAGTTATCACAACCAATCATTCATGCATCCTTCATTGCCATTAGACACACGTAGTCGGCGGCAACTAATAGCCAAAATGTGTCCCAGGCTGCTTAATCCCTCACCGAAATTTTATCCCACACCATTGTCGACGATTTTTTCAGGACTTGGGGAGAGCAAGGGCCTGAATAACCGCAGTTTTAACCTAGTTTCCTTCTAACAGCTTACGATTGCAGCCTAATTTTGCCAGCAATGACTGTCTCGTCCGATATCCCCTGATCCACCACCATTGTTAAGCCCTGCTCCCTAGACAAAGCGTCCTCATATCCGGGACTTGGTGAGCTTTGCCACCTAGCGACCTAGTTGATGAGCTGATTGTATCGCCCAGGACGGTGGGCGCGCCAGAGGAGCACTCTTACATCCACTGGATGTGTCGGCGAGTCAATATATATATATATATATATATATATATATATATATATATATATATATATATATACGGAACGTCAGGCGTTCTGACGCCATCCATGAGCCGGAAGCCAAACATATCCAATTGCTGTAACAGCGCTCCTCCGCTACACGCTTGCATTAAACACCAGTGATTCGCTTCGGGCCATTCCGCCGGCGGCAGACCAGCCGAGCCAATGCCGGCTGGCTGCGAGCGGCGCCGGTCAGCGGGCGGGGCCGGCCGGCAGGTGGCGGCCGGCCCCGTCTGCCGGAGCCAGTCTGCGGCCCCGGAGGACCGATCCCAGCCTGGCCGGCCGGTGATCTCGGACACTGCTGACGCTGCCTCCCAGTCTCCCGGGTCCGACGAGCGGAGCGGCGGCACCGACACGGTGCGGAAATGACACCCAACTGGCGTTGTCGTCATATGCCTCCCAAAGCACTTGTGCATTCTCGGATAATCATTTGCATTTGGCGTGCACGATGGCCACATTTTAACCTCCACACGTCTTCAAAATACGTCGCAACAAGAACAAGCCTACACTTGGCTCACAGAGGCACGATCGATTGAAATCTATCGGCCACTTCCGCACGCAAAATCCACACGCGCAGAACACGCTCCTCCTTCTCCCCTCCCGCCCGGTCGGCACCGGCCGCGGGCAATCTGCCCCGTCAGCGCCGGCTCCGACCGGCGGCGAGCGCGGCGCGGACGGCGGCGGGCCGCGCGTCAATATTGGCACCGCAGATCTGGCGGCCACCCCGGGGACCGCCGGTCGCGCGCGCCGGGCCGCTCCGCTTGTTTTGCCGACTGACTGAAGGGCCGACGCGTCCGCCGACGGAGCGTCGAGCCGGGCGAGCGAGCGGCGCCGCGGCCGCGGCCGGTGCCCCCGCGTCTCGGTGGCGAGCCGCGCCACGGCTCGGCACGGCGGAGGGCGGAACACCACACGAACAAACGGAGACAGATGGTTCCGCCTGGCAATTCTTCGGGGAGGTTCAATGCTACCGTCGATTCATCGACAGATTCTACGCCGACAACGGCTATTCGATGACCAGCCTATGGCCGTTCACAGTCTGGGGACTGCATCATAAATCACTATGCCGTTTGCATTCGCGTCTATAACGGGACCGAATTCCAATTAGACGACCACGCCCGATCAGCATCGGCCTTATTGGAATGGCCGGAGCGGCCGAGAGGCCGACGAAGGACCGAAATGGCCCGCCACGGGACGGCCCAGCTCACAAAAACGGGAGCGTGACGGCGACACGTGGTCACCTGCGTCGTCCACCCGTTCCCTCGATCAGCGCCCGGCTGCGTGTCCAGAGCGCACCACATTATCGCCACTCGACGCCGTCCCATCGCGGGGCTCCGTTCATTAGTGGCGATCGGTAATGAGGCGGCGGTCCGGCCCGCGAGTGGGCCTAAATTCGGCGCCGGCATCGCCGCGCTGCTCTCATAAGCGGCCGGTCTGCGCCGCGTGCCCGAGGGCCGCTCTCCGGGTGCGGGCCACCGGATGGTCCTCCTCCGAGCCGAGCGCTCTTCCGAGCCGCCCGGCTCGCTCGGTCGATCCCGGCCGACGCGCGGCCGGCGGCCGGCCGCGGTGTGACGGAACCTGTCGTCGCCGCCCATCTCACGCGGCCGACGCGTCCGCTGCGATAGAACAGGCGCCGCTCGCTCCCGACCGGAATAGCCGGCCGTCGTGCCGCGCGCGCTGTCTGGGGGCGCCTCCAGGGCTGCTGGGTCCGCCCGCGACGGCGGGCGCGGCGCTCAGGGCGAAGACAAAGGGCAGCGGAACACGAGTCAAAATCTGTTAAAGACTAGCCCCATTCTTCTGGTCGGAGTTGGAGCAACTCGCGACAAGCGCAGTAAATAAGATCAGTCTGACAGACCGCGTACCTGATGAGATGAATAGCAGCATAACCGTTCTCGTCCATAAAAGGTAACGTTGAAAACAAAATGTCACCTGGGCCTATTAGCTTCCCGAGTATATATATATATATATATATATATATATATATATATATATGCAAACACACATCCATACATATACGTATATAACTAAATAAATAAATATATATATATATATATATATATACCAGATTGCACACGATCCGCTCAGATGCTGCTATTAAGGGAATGTTCTAAGGTAGCTTAGAGCTTAAGCTCTCCAGCAACACCGATCACATTGGCCTCATGTTGGACGGGATTCCGAATCCCTGCAATCTAACAAGAAACTTTGTCAGGAAATCAGATAGGTCTCTGGTTTAGAACTGAACCTGCGGAGAACGCGGACCGGAGCAGCATCGTCGCCTGAAGTCAGACACGCGGCCATCAAACACCTGCAACGACGCCCAACCAACGAATTCCGGAAATGCACACCACCCAGCCACACAGGTCATCACCCTGGAGCTTAACAGGGTCAGCGACCGTTCTCCCAGAAACTGGATTGCGTGTGTCATTGGGGCTTTACGACGCACTCAGCTGCTGAGGCTATATGGCGTCACCTGCCTCTCACTCTGGCAGGAAGGGCGGGCACCGCGGGGAATCGAACCCCGTACCTCTGGTTGGAAAGAGAGAAAATGGATCACATCCCCACATTTCAGCTGTCGGTCGAGACCGCGCCATCCCTCCTGGACCGGGAGTGTGCACGCGACAAGCGCACTCGGCGCGGCCGCGGCCTGGACCGGAGCGTGGGGGGGGGGGGGGGGAGGGGCGCCTGCTCCGCTGCATTGTTAACGCGCCGATGGATGGTCTGTCGCGGTTGCTCTCGTCACACGATCGGAGCGCACGGGGCCGGCCCAGAAGGTGCGCCCCGAGCAGGCCGGGCCGTTCAGGTCGGCCGCGGCGACAGGGCACGCCGACGGCCGCCACCGAGGACACGGACCGACAGAGCTCCGCGGGGTACGCGGACTCGCGTCTCCACAGACACAAAGGCATGCAATCGGCCTCCTCTCATCCGGCACCGGTACACCTCGTGTTTTCGGTCCGGGTTCCCGGAACACACGGCTAAGCTGTCAGCAAACCATTACGCAAGCCTTATAAATTGTCAGTTGTCTAGCACACTTAAGTGATGTCGGCAACATTTACACCTGTCACCGGCACCCGTCATCACATTTTTATCGTAAATAGCCGGGTCGGATAGTGCAAAAGGCCATACGAAGAGTTCTGCGGAGGACATATTGGTTGAACGACTTCAAAGGTACTCTAAAAATATTCTAAAATAAAAAACAGCGGCAATTTAAAGCTTCATTTTACAGAAACCAATTGGTAATAAAACATCTGGACACCGCTTGATGTCAGTTTCACTTCCTTTCAGAGGTATTCGCCCGCGGCAGCGAACCGTCTCGGCCCCTGCCCAACTGACGCGAGACGGCTCTCAAACGTTACCCAATGGCCCGCATCGCTATAAGGTGGAGGTTGCAATATGCGGAAGGTCTGGTCCATGATTAGAACGGCTGAGTCGCCGAAAGAGATCAAGGTAAGTGCTTTATGTGAGCTCCAGTGCCTGCTATTCAAGCCAGCAAGTACGGCTGTTCACATCGATTCAAAACCTGGCTGCCGTCGCGAGGCACTGAAAAGTTGCGCAGCTCGTGTGATCACACATAGAAAAAGCCTTTGGCAGATACATGAGAGAAAAGGCGAAAGTTGGCCGCATGAAAGAATTGACGCTATATAAAATATCATACAATTGAGCCACCACTTTTGCGAACGATGCTTTTGAAATATCAAAATTTAATTACTGGTTTCAACTAAAATATTTATGATTAACATTCCGGCTTCGCACAACGCTTTTTGACGACACCTTATCATCTATGACAACTAACGCTCTCCTCTTCCTAAGCGGGCACACAATCCTCCTCACGTTACCCAGGAAGAAATCTACATGACGTTGAAAAATCATCAGCCAGAGGGTCCATTTTTAGGCGCAGTTAACTGTGCCGGACGTCCGGACCAGCCTGCGCCGCCGCGCTCCTGGCGGCGGCGCCCTGCGGTTGGTGGCGCGCGCATCCCGGCGGGAGGCGCGCCGCCGGCCAGCCTCCCGAAGACCCCCCAGCCGGCGGTGGCCGCTGATGAACAAAGTCGGCAAGCTCCGGCTGACCGCAGCCCGCTTTTAGCAGGCGGCCGGCATTGTTTACGCGGGTGTTGGCGGCCCGCGGCGCCGCCGCGCGACGGCACGCCAGGGCGCCGCACAACTCGGCAGCGGCGCCAGCCGCGCGCCGGCGGGACCCTGCCGGGCGCCGTCGACCGTCGACGCCGCCTTATTGCCGGCACATCCGCGACGGCGGCCTGACGTCCGCCCGCGGCTCGGCTCGGCGACCCACTTGAACACGGCGGCGATGTCGTAGTGAAGGTCCTCGGGGAGCGTGGTCTTCTCCTCGTTCCACTTCTTCATGGTGGCCGGCTTTAGCTTGATGGACTTTTTGGACGGCGCGAAGGCGTCGGCCCAGTCGCACTCCTCGGCGAAGTCGATGGCCTCGGTATCCCGCTTGCGGCGCGGCTTGGCGGCGTCCGGCGCCGGCCCCTGGCGGCCTGCCGGGCGGAAGGGGCGCGTCAGCCGACCGGCTGGCGGGGCGTGGGCAAGACCCCAGACCTGGCCAGGGACGGGGCAGGGCAGGGACAGATACCTGGGCAGGGCCGGGGCAGGGCAGGGACAGATACCTGGGCAGGGCCAGGGCAGGGCAGGGACCGAGGGACGGAACAGGGCAGGAACCGAGACCTGCGCTGGGCGGGGGCAGGGCAAGAACCGAGACTTGGGCACGGACGGGACAGGGCAGGGACCGGGTAAAGTGGATCACGGCCAGCGTTGGCTCGTCACCCGGCTAAAACACCATCTTTGACGCGTTCAGGTTCGTGCCGGTTAAAACTGGCGCAAACCAGCAAAAGCTCAGAAAACCATACTCTTCCTTACTTCATCAAGCATATCATCATATTGTAGTTACGATGTTCCCTATCCAATTAAGCCAATGCCAAAAATGGCGATGTGAACAGCGCTTCGCGCCGACGGCGGATGGAAGCACGCGGTGTATTTGCTACAACTGACACGTAATTAGCATCTGGACCCGTGCTCCAGGACCAACGGTGACAGGCGATATGGCGATGACTGCCCCTGCCGTCAGGGGTAAAGTGCTGTCACTCAGACGCGCGGCATCATTACCCATCAGCTAGTAAGCATGGACGCACGCACGGAGGCCGCCTTGAACGACATTGAGCACTATGGAATCTAGTCCAGGCGGTGGGCGCTATAGTGGACGCTCGACATTTTGTAATGATGTAAATACGATAAAGCCGTAATCAACGCTGATGCCGCGCTGTTACACTTGCGAGGTGCATTTGACCTGATGAGTCTGTAAGCAGACACTTGACAATTAGTCGGTTGCTGAGCTGGTAAGTAAAAATAACGCCGTTGAATAACGACTAGTCTAGTTTTAACAATAACGTTACGCTTGTCTTGGGCTCACACTTGCCGCGTTATCATGCATTTACGCCGCATTTTAAATCACATGGCGAACACCTTTGCATTACCAACAGGCGGGACGTGCAGTACGACAAGGGTATCTGACACTGATAGGCCAGACCATATAAGCGGACATATTCCTGTAGAATGCGTCTGTTTTGCGGGACACCGGACTTGTGTGCTCATTGTCTCGTGATGTCGTAACCGAGGGGTCACCAGTCAGCTGACGCGCTTTACGATGTGACAGTCTTCCCAGCCGATGCAGACGCCTGTTCCATGCGTATGTCTACAACGTCTGATTGCGCGGGGGTTGTTCACGTTAACCTTATCCGTGCATGGACGTTAAATAATATTTTTACAGCGCTTGAGTTCTTGTTGCTTTCTACACTTATTGGCCACCGAAAGTAACAGTTTCTGCTGATCCGTTCGGACTGGTAACACCTGACGGGCACACTTCACTAATTCTGCCTGCGGCTGCTAATGCCGGCTGTGCCGCCCGACGCTGGGGACGGGTAGGGGCGGGTCAGCCGGGGGTCACCGTGACGCCACACAACAGACATTTCAGAACTGTCCTGGGGGCTGTTCAAGACAACACCCCACAAGGAGCCGGTTACAGGCGCTTTTCAAGTGATGCTGGTGCGAACGTCGTCAAGCGCGTCTCTTTACAAGGGAGGGCGAGGGAGGGGGGGGGGGGGATATCCGTTCATGCGCCCGCATCCCTTGACCATTCACTGTCGCAGCTCAGAACCCTACACACACAAAACGGCGACCAACTGCGCGACGGTCCTCTGACTTCTGCGCGCACCGGCCCGGTGGCGACAGGGCGCCAGCGGCAGGCGGCTGACCCCGCGGCTGACCCCGCAGCTGACCCCGCGGCTGACCCCGCGGCTGACCCCGCGGCTGACCCCGCGGCTGACCCCGCGGCTGACCCCGCAGCTGACCCCGCGGCCGACCCCGCGGCTGACCCCGCGGCTGACCCCGCGGCTGACCCGCGGCTGACCCCGCGGCTGACCCCGCGGCTGACCCCGCGGCTGACCCCGCGGCTGACCCGCGGCTGACCCCGCGGCTGACCCCGCGGCTGACCCCGCGGCTGACCCCGCGGCTGACCTGCTGTCAGCGGACGCAGCTTCCAGTGCCGGGGCCCGGCCCAGGCCAGCAGGCGGCGCTGGTCGAAGTACGAGTACTCCTGCGGCACGGCCGACACCATGCTGAGCAGGGCGGCGGAGGCGGCGCCGGCCGGCCGGCAGCCGGCGCCGCCCAGCGTGACGCCGCCGTCTCCGGCCGCCGCCTCGTCGTCGTCGCACGCGTCGTCCATCGCTGCCGGCAGAAGAGCGGTGACGGCGGGCGCGCCGGACGGTCGCCGCGGACGGGGGACGGCACACACGGGCGCACAGCACGCCACCGCGCGGCAGGCGGGTTGCAAGACAGCGGGATGGTGAACACAGACGTGTGCAATTGGCAGGGCCGCCAGCTGTCGCGCAAATCTCCCGCTGGCTGTGATTTTCCAAGGCCGAAGAAGCATACGGCGGTCGGGACTCGGTCAATGGACTTTCCGATGACGAAACGCAAGCCCTCGACACAATGCCTCTTCCGCCCACTCCAAGTCCGTGGGCCAAGGCGCACGGCACGCCAAGGCACCATAAAGGAGCCTGGCCCGTCAGGATCGGCTACACCGCAGCACTCACAAAGCGGGTCAGACAACACAAGCCATGAAACACGACCGCGCCGTGCGCAGGCCATCCGAACACAACGCGCCAAAGGTCGCCGCCTCCTGCCGCAATCGCTACCTCCGCACGCCAGCGCGAATACTTCCTTTCCCCGCGCGCCCCGCCCCTGGCGTGCCGGATTTCCGAATGGGGTCGGTACAAAGCGCCGCATATTGGCACTCGCCAATGGCCGGCCGGCCGCGGCGCGCGCGTGAATGGCGGGCCGCACCGCGGCCGGCCGGCGCCACATTCGTCACGGCAGGGCCGGCGCCAAGCACCTATTGATTGCGAACGGTACGCTGCTAATGGTGCCAAGATATATGTTCGCGCAGGGCCATCTGCCAGCGCCCGGCGCGAGGCACCGCCGCGCCCGAGCGGCACACGCGGAGCAGTGGCCGGCAATGGCACCGGCGGGTGGCGTCTGCCGCCACGGACTCGCAGCCGGCGGAGGCGACACACGGGACAACAGCCCCATCTCGTCCGCTTTCCCTGCGTCCGCGGGCGGGTCTGCCGCCACGGACTCGCAGCCGGCGGAGGACGACACACGGGACAACAGCCCCATCTCGTCCGCTTTCCCTGCGTCCGCGGGCGGGGTTCGCGACCGAGGAGCTCGTCACAACGCGTCTGGTGTTGAGGCTACACGCCGCTGTTACACTCGACGGCGGAGCGGCGCGGCGGAGACGACACCCGAGTATGCAGCCGCTCGCACAGAGAAAGCGGTCAACACGCGCGCGAAGAGTCGCAAGTCCTCAGCGCTGTACTAACCAGACGTTTACCACAGTGACTGATTTATTGATTACGGGAGTGTCCGACACGTCAACTGGTGGGGTCATTTCGCGCCGGATGCATAACGCATGCTTTTGAGGAAAATTATTCCCACGGGTTTTGGGGAAAGCTACAGCTCCGATAACCTGCCCCGACCATTTGCTTACTCCTCCATGGGCCTTGTAACCAACTGCATGCAAAACAGATCAGCTCTGAGCAATTAGGTTACAGCGCGCAAGTGTGCTGCGAACAGAACGAGAGTTCTCATGCGTAAACAGTTCCCTAATAGGTTTAAGTGAAGTAGATTGACCGTCGGAAACGCCGAGTTCAAACCATTACACGCAGCTTCGCGTTATTCGAGTCGAGGGAGAGATGTGCATATCAAACTCACACCTGCGCGAATGATCCGTAAGGCGGACATTTGGTTCACGGCACGAATGCACAACACGATAATTTCGACCTTCTGGCGCCGCCACTGCATGCCCAAATTGAGCCACCGAGGGGATATGTTTTAACTGCGGCGATCATCACCCAGACAACGAACGGGTCGCCCCACTCATCCCTGCGCTTGTCCACTTTACCCGACACCAGCCTCGTCATTTCCGGCGCCGCGCCATCCACGCCGCGACACCGCCCCGGACAAATTGGCGGGAGGCACGGCTGTCCCGGCGGACCCGCGCCGGCGCCTCACTCACCGCCAAACTCGTCATCAGCCGGCTCCTCCATGATGACGCTGTGGACCGCGTTGATGTCGAACCTGCCGGCGGCGCAGCGGCAGGCGTCAGGCCGACGCAGCCAGCTCCGGGGGAAAGCGAGGGCGTCCCTCGCTACCGCGCGGGTACCGGCGACCCCGCCGAAACACAGCTCCACCTTCGGCACACCCGCACGCCCGGGCCTGGCCTTGGGTGCTCCTGTACCCGTGTCTGATTCGGCACACACCGCGGCCGGTTCTAGCGCCCGCCCTGGTACTGCCACGTCCTAATCTGGCACGCCTCCACTGTGCATGCGTCTGACCCGGGACACCTGCTGCATAGAGCAACCCCCATAGGTGCTGCGCGTCTGCTTCTCGCCTGGTCTGTATCTCGTCTGATCTTTGCCTCGCCTGGTCTGTGTCTCATCTGGTCTGTGTCTCGCCTGGTCTGTGTCTCCCGTGTCCATGTCTCGCTTGGCCTGTGTCTCGCCTGGTCTGTGTCTCCCGTGTCCATGTCTCGCCTGGTCCGTATCCCGCCTGCTCTGTGTCTCGACTGGTCTGTCTCGCATGGTCTGTGTCTCCCGTGTCCATGTCTCGCCTGATCTGTGCCTCGCCTGATCTGCGTCTCGCCTGGTCTGTGTCTCATCTCGCCTGTGTCTCGCCTGGTCTGTGTCTCCTGTGTCCATGTCTCGCCTGGTTCGTGCCTCGCCTGATCTGCGTCTCGCCTGGTCTGTGTCTCATCTCGCCTGTGTCTCGCCTGGTCTGTGTCTCCCGTGTCCATGTCTCGCCTGGTCTGTGCCTCGCCTGATCTGCGTCTCGCCTGGTCTGTGTCTCATCTCGCCTGTGTCTCGCCTGGTCTGTGTCTCCCGTGTCCATGTCTCGTCTGGTCCATGCCCCGCCTGCTCTGTGTCTCGACTGGTCTGTCTCGCATGGTCTGTGTCTCCCGTGTCCATGTCTCGCCTGGTCTGTGCCTCGCCTGATCCGCGTCTCGCCTGGTCTGTGTCTCATCTCGCCTGTGTCTCGCCTGGTCTGTGTCTCCCGTGTCCATGTCTCGTCTGGTCCATGTCCCGCCTGCTCTGTGCCTCGTCCGGTCTGTGTCTCGCCTGATCTGTGTCTCGCCTGGCCTGTATCTCCCGTGTCCGTGTGCCCAGCCGGCCGCCGGGCCTCTCCGGCCGTCCCCAGCCGTCTCACCTGTGCCGCAGGTCGGCGGGCGGCGCCGGCGGCGGCGGCGGCAGGTCGGCTCCGGCCTCCTCGGAGCGCTGACCGTCCCGCTCGTCCGCCAGACTCCAGCCGGAGAAGGAGAAGCCCTGCAGCGGCGCGCACAGCAGCCGGCCGCCGAGCTCTGCCGGACGGTCGGCGGTCAGACAACGCTCAGACGTCTGGTCCCCCGCCGCGCCGCACCGCCGGGGGCAGACGCCTGGGCGTCAGCAGACGCCCGCCTAGTTTGGTGCGTGGAGGCGCTAGCTTGGGGAGAAATACAGGCCAACAGCCAGCCGACTGTAGGCAGAGTGCGCGGATTAGCGACAGGATGCCAACTGGGTGTGCAACCTAAAAGCATATACAAATAATAAAACCCCGTTACATGGGACATCCTGGACATGGCCATCCCAGCTTTTTTACACAAGCTGCAAGCCAAATGCTTGCTGGAAAGGAAGACCTGGTACGCTGCGCCATACCGTTTATGGTGTCACTTTAAAAACGTATCACCCAGTGATAGCTGGCGTGTTTGGCAGTTAGGCCGCCGTCGTTCGCTTGCTCTGTTGTTCCTCACTACGTACCACTTTTCTACGTAGTCCGCTACGCAGATTGCACCAGATCCCAGTATTTCGACTATTTCAGGCGTTATGCTCTGTTGTTCCTCACTACGTACCACTTTTCTACGTAGTCCGTTACGCAGATTGCACCAGATCCCAGTATTTCGACTATTTCAGGCGTTAATCATGTAATGGCCGGGAATATCCTGGTGACTGTCCTGCTGTCCCACCACCTCGCTCAGCTCACAGCTCTCCACAAAAGCTGTCCTGAAGGGGAGTACTACTGACCGCCCTGCAGCCAGTGTCGCTGTTTTGCTTCCCCGCGAGTACATCGCTCGAGGGGACAGAACTGTAGCGGAGACATGTCGCCGGACCCCCAATGCCAGGTCAGCATACTCTAAGGTCACGGCGCATGTGTGCACTGCAGCGCGAACACGCATCCGCGGAAGACTGACGCGATGAACGTCAAAAACGGTCGAATGAATGCAGTAGTGTCACGGTGGTGAAACTGTCCCGCAAAGCAATAAAAATAAAAAAAACAAAATATGCGACATCACAAACTACCACAACTGCGTCTAACGCATACAGCTAGGACATCTGACCCGGCTGGCGAGTCCCTGTACCCGTTCCGGTTTCGGTCCCCGTCCCGGTCCCCGTCCCGGTCTGGTCCCGGTCCCGCTCTGGTCCTGTCCCGGTCCGGCCCCGTACGCTGCCCATCTGAACTGACCGGGCGGCGCCAGGTCCGGCCGCGCGTCATGCTCCTCCTCGCGCTCCTCCGGCGGCGGCGGGCCGGCCTCGGTCGCGGCACCGACCTCCACCAGCAGCTCCTGGGTGTCGTCGCGCGGCGGCAGCGCGCCCAAGAAGGCGGCACCGCCGGCGCGGCCCTCGTCGGCCGACACGCGCAGCAGCCGGGCCAGCAGCGGGTCGGCCGGCGCCGCGTCGCCGCCGCTGGCGCGTGCCGTGATGTTGGCCAGGTTGCGTTCGACAGTGGCGTGGCGGCGAGCCTGGCGCGGACACAGCGGCGGCGTCACACCGAGCCGACGACACAGACGCGGGCAAGTCGTCACAGCGGGCAAAGCATAACACGATAAAACGATTAAATAAAGTTGGGTTACCTTGCCGAAATGGGGGTTAATAAGGTGTTTTGTCGAAGTACAGCTTGCTATGACATGCCCATTTCAGACGGGTGATCCCCATCTCTCCTCTTCTGCTACGAACATCTTTACAACGCGGCCTGATAGCCTAAAAGCTGGAAAAGGCCGACGCACCGCGTAGCAAAAGCACAACTGAG